CGCGTGAAATGAAGATTCTCGCTAAATATTAAACAAGATTTAAAGGTAACCGTCGATATGCACAGAAAATGCCCTATATAAGTAAATAGCATTGACCTACTGCTTAAGAAAGTGGATCGATCAAAAAACTTGCTACCTCAGTATCATCACCTACTGCACCAACTATATCACCAACCTTCTGCATCAATCATGTTTTCGAAAAGAAGTAAAGACTTCGCCCAAAATTTATCAAGATACTGTCTGGGATCAAGCCTTACAAAGCGATGTGATGCACTTTTGAAAATGTACCGTGAACTTCCACAAGACTGACAGACACTGACAAGACACCATCCATATTGTATATGTGGCCATTGTATTATTCTATGTAATATAACTAAGAATGACACGCAGCGTGATGTTCGATTCATAAATCATTTTTATTTTACACAAATTTAACAGCGAAGCTCAAAAGTTTGAGACATTAAATAAACTGAAGTTTTGTCGCCTAAGATTTAACAGCTGCTCTCCCAACTTGCCGATTTCCACCGTAACGTTCTTAAACTGTCAGACTTTCTTTTATTTCTTTTCGACAGGGCAACAAACAGTTTGCGATTTTATCAGTTACTATGATAAAAAAAAACACTGATTTTTTTTTCTATTCGTCATTTTGTTCGTAAACGTTACGAATTGAAAAGTATTTTAAAAGATGAATAATCGTTAAATGATCGTTACGGTTATGATGATCACAATTCCGTGACCAATTTTTAATATTTTTATTAATTTTTGATTTGGATTTCTGATCTGATTTGGTATGTTAATAAAGTAAGTAAATTGTAACATCAATTCTTTTCACATTCGATTGATCAACTGGATAAATCATCCAAGAAAATATGATTTAATATAATTATGTAACATAATTTCAGTCGTACATAATGTACGAAAAGTGCTATTCATTTTTCATTTTTCATATAATAACGCCTCGTGTCAGACAAAAGCCCGTTTTATAGTCTAACAATGCGATTGTGCTCTTTTCATCAACGCGACTTTTATGAGCGTCGCGTCAGCTGCGGTATGCCAAAATTGAGATAGTCACATTTATGGACTCCCGCTTTTCCTGTTGATATTAACATGAAACCTTAAGTGAGTCGAGCTATATGGCGTGTTAATTTTCATCAAACATAAGAGTACCCATTTCAACAAACAGTGCGCGTTCTATATTAGTATAACATACATTTTTTTTTAGTTTTTCTCCTAATTCTTTTGCTTCATCTGCCCTTAAATGTCCACATCTGTATATGATCTAGTCAAATTAAGGAGGATTTATATTAGTCGCCTCGATTAGTAAATTGGTGAATTAGCGATCACAGTACCAAATATCTTGCACCTTTAACACTACCCCCGTCGCCGTTCATTTTACGTCTGACGTAAACGGGGTTATAGAATAGAATAACGGCAACAGGGTTGGGCGACAAGAAGATCCTCTTCAGTTTGTGCCTTAATAAATATAACATAGTAGATGTTTTTGGGTTTGGTGTATTTCAGTTATTGAATTTTTCTGCAAGTATTTACAGCTCGGAATCCAGGAAGTTGGCGGAATTTTACCGAGCTTCGGAAAGGACGTAAAGCCGTTGGTCGTGCGCCTGATATCCCTCAGATCGTGTCGGTGTGCCGTCTTATCGGGCTATGAGAGTGAAGGAATAGACTTGTGCATATGCTTGCGAATATATTCGAGCACTATAAAATTCTCTTTTGCGCAGGTGGCTAATCTTGGTTGAGACTGGCCGCCGTGACCGAAATTCGGTCTGGAGGACGTTATATCTTCTATTATAAGGAGATGTTTGAGACACAAAAACTTAATAAATAATATACCAAAGTCAATAACATTATGTACCTAATTGCGTTTCAGTCCTCAAGAGCAAAAAGCTTCCACATTTCATCTTGATTCTTTAACTTAGACAATCGTCGTTCGCGTTATTTACGTGAATATAGCAAAAGTAAATGATGTTTATGTTCAACTAGACGGATTCGACCACGGCGATAACTTCAGAATGACGACGAAATTCATCAACATACACGACACTGGTGCTTGTGGTAAAACCTGTGAGATCGGAGGTATTATAGGGTAGGATGCAGTGTCAACGACAATATGACGATACGTTTTTTTGTTTTGCATACCTTAATATTGACTCGTATTATATCTCAGATTAAACATCAATTTCAGCTTCTATAATTAATCTGGTACTCTGATAAGACGTTCCGTTACGCGTTTGTTAAACGTATAAATAAATAAGCGCTGTTGAGGGACGTTGTGACGCCAAGCAGATTATTCTCCTGTCGAGCAGGTTGAAAGTAGTTATTATATATCTACGAATACACAAAGATATGCAGTCGAAATAAAAAGGAAATTATTTCACAATATAAACAATGAGTTATCAATAAAATATTATGTTTTTACTGTACCGGTCCTCCGACTGGCAGATAAGCATTTAATTTTTATTGTCGACTCGCGATTTGCGACTCTACACGCTTTTCTATTGTTTCTTTTTTTATTTCAATAAAGCAGCACTATTATTATGATTTATTGTTGTATAGATTTTAACAGAACTTGATTTAATTAATAGATCATCAAGTCATTTTTCATTTTCTTAGCGGTTAGCCACCGTAGAGTCTATATCACCTGAGGATGCCTCGTGTAGAAGCGAAACACGTGTCGTATTGTCGTCAGTGGTGTGTCTTTCCCAGTGTAGTGGTGTTGGGAGTAGTGGTGCTGGGATTAGTGGTGACGGGGATAGTGCACGCAATTGAGGGAGGGCGGGATGTGCTCTTCAAACTAGGTAAGACACATCATTTTATTTTATCGAGCGGATGTACGCGAAGTAATTTTTTGTCAACTTTAATATAATGGACTTCCGCAAAGTAACGCCTGATTCTATTAATTAAATCAAGTTCTGTTAAAATCTATACAACAAAAGATCATAATACTAGTGCTGCTTTATTGAAATAAAAAAGAAACAATAGAAAAGAGTGTAGAGTCGCAAATCGCGAGTCGACAATAAAAATTAAATGCTTATCTGCCAGTCGGAGGACCGGTACAGTAAAAATATAATAATATAGTGATAACTCATTGTTTATATTGTGAAATAATTTCCTTTGTATTTTGACTGCATATCTTTGTGTTATTTCGTAGATATATAATAACTACTTTCAACCTGCTCGACAGGAGAATAATCTGCTTGGCGTCACAACGTCCCTCAACAGTCCTTATTTATTTATACGTTTAACAAACGCGTTACGGAACGTCTTATCAGAGTACCAGATTAATTATAGAAGCTGTAATTGATGTTTAATCTGAGATATAATACGAGTCAATATTAAGGTATGCAAAACAAAAAAATGTATCGTCATATTGTCGTTGACACTGCATCCTATCCTATAATACCTCCGATCTCACAGGTTTTACCACAAGCAACAGTGTCGTGTATGTTGATGAATTCCGTCATCATTCTGAAGTTATCGCCGTTATCGAATCCGTCTAGTTGAACATAAACATCATTTATTTTTGCTATATTCACGTAAATAATGCGAAGGACGATTGTCTAAGTTAAAGAATCAAGATGAAATGTGTAAGCTTTTTGCTCTTGAGGACTGAAACGCAATTAGGTACATAAAGTTATTGACTTTGGTATATTATTTATTAAGTTTAGTATAAATTATTTCTTATAAGAACATAAAATAAATAGATCACTTGTAATGAGGTGTAATTAATATTTTTCTGTCCTGCTAACTCGTCCATGACCTACTACCACTTTATCAATCAGTATAATGACATGCTGTTACGTATTCAATTCTAGTCCTCATGAGTAACGGCATATCTGTAGCTTTATCTTTTTCTACCACGATCATGTTGGCTGCAATTTCGTTGATTTCAATATATAATATATAACCATTAATATATTACCACTACAATACGTAGGTAGTTAAAGTTGTTTCTTTTTTGTTATAATTTTTTAAGTTTTTAGGGGTTTAGACAATTAATAAAGAAATTATACCAAATATATGTTGTTATAATAAATAGGTAATTTACGACATACTGCAGAATGAAAAGCCAGACACTACATATACCTAATTCAATGTCACAAAGTTTTAATCACACGTTTCAAATAGTATCTTTCGTACTGGCTTCCTGCCATTATAATTGAACTTTGCACTATTCCTGGAAAATTTTGTCTAAATTCACTTATATTGTTTGTGAGTTTATTTTGGTGTTTTGGCATAGGAAGCAATCGTGTTTATGCGTAACATTAATGTTGTACAGTATGAACTGCGGCCAATCTTTATGCGCTAATGTTTACAACTAATGCATCACATAGGCAAACAAGGCTCCAAAAATATTACCTGGATATTTTTCTTAGTAAAGTAAAGTTTTGTGATAAAAAGCCACTCAGATGTGGCTAAAAGTTGAGACAAGGTCAATCGTACATTTTTCAATCGATTTATAGTCCCTTTACTTTTAATATCACATATTATGGTCGTTCGCGCATAAAATAATTTACCATCTAAGTCATCTGTTCATTTTTCCCAAAATCAACAGCTAATTTTGTATTTTGAAAACTTTTCTGTGTTAATGTATTTAACATGCAATCTATAATATCATGTTTGATCAAATGTTGTGTTAATTATCTTCTCGATTCTATTGAAAATAACACATATTGTAAACAAGATACATATTTGAATAACAAGTTGCGGCCACGTGCATACGTAAGAAACCTGTACTGAACGTAAATAAATAAGTAGGTATGAACTAAAAAATAGAAAGGGATTCTAAGTACACAAAAAAGGCACTAAAACCTTATTTGTACCTACGATGATCATTAATAAAGCAATCTACAAAAGCAGGCGTTTGGATAAATTAATGACAATGCTTATATAATTATTTTACTTCTAGTACACATATAATATTATTTATTTACTGATACTATCAGCAATCATTCATGACTAAGAATTATAAAAGTTATACTTACGGTTTGTAACTCCAGTGCTATTAGAACCCGTGACTACGAAAGTTTCAATGCAAATAACACTTAGTAAAATATACAACCACATACTGCAACAATATTTGGGGGCTGCCCGATGACAGCCCACCAAAATGAACATTTGTCTTTTAGAAACTTTTGTTTTTGACAAAATCACTGTATGGTAACACTTAATTTTATCCAACTACGGTTCCTAGTTTTATCACCTCTATAACACTTTTATATCACTTAAGATATATAAATCAAATATAATCAAAATATATAACCCAATATGAGGGGTTTTAGAAGATAACTAACGTTTTGAGGTTATTTTTACGTGCCAGTGGTACGAGCGCGACGGCGAATGTCGCGCGCGAGGCAGGCAGGTGTAAGGCGAGAGTTGGGCTCCCCGCTAGACTAGATGGCGCTAGCGGCGCACGCGTGACGTCGTTTAGTTTCGGCGACTGAGCCGTGGCGCTGCGCTGCTGATTCTAGCTAGAGATTTTTCCTAACGCATCACACCAACGACATATCATGTTAAGAGACGTTTACATATCGTTTTCAGATATTAACTACCAGTTTGTCTTTATTAGCTATTAATAGTTTTACATAGGTATAGGTATCTTAGTAACCCTTTCCATTTTTTTCGTTTATTTCGTAGTGATAAACACTAATACTTTAAAAAATATAACCTTGCTTGTGATTTTATGGTCAGGTGTCCATGGACTGCAATACCTACGAATTATAGCAATTAGCCACTGCACTGCAGTAGGTACACATCATTGCATCGGGTGTATAGGACGTTAGTTTGTGACAACAATTTATTAAAAAAGTAGATAAACTTATAAAATCTACATATGCATACCAAAGAATATCTTATGGATGACTCAAATTCACATTATTTTATTAACATGATAATAATTGCAATAATTTACAAAGAGAATTGCACTTTACATAGAGAATCGCCAGTTGATCGGAGAGGATTCACGACAAGATTCATGTTATAGAGGCTGACTGGCTGAGTCACGCAGGCTACACTCATGATAATGAGTGCTAGTTGTATTACATGATTCTATGTTACATACACACCTTATTTTCATAAAAACCTTATTTTCGTCTTTTTGCCGGTTTATAGGTATTCCTCACTGTCTGGGTAATTTAATAGGGGTACATCGTAGGATTATAATTTTAAGAAAGCCATGAACAAAGCTGATGAAGATAAACAACTCATTGTTTATATCATTTTTTTAAAACTTATTTATTGACTTTTAATATTTAGTTACTTATATTAACAAACACATTCAAAGCATATAGAGGGTAGTTTTGCAATAACCGGCCAAATTTGCAGAGAAGGTTCAGAATAAGTAATATAGGCAAATGGTGAAGAACAATTAATTAAAAAACTCTCAAACATTCTGTACTTTTTATGTTTTAAATTCAAAATTTGTATAATGCATGTGTGTAATGCATTATTTTAGCTGATTTTACTGCACACACACACACATTCATAAAGGTCGATCGGTAGGCAAAAACGTTGTTGGACATAAATCACATTCAATTTCGAATAATTACAAATAAAAGTAGAAGCCTTATTTACTCGTATTTCCAAAAACTGCAATAACGGTATATTATAATTCATATATTTGAACGTAAGTTTAAAATTTGGCTACTCTTTAAAAAATAATCTTGTATAACGTGCATGATTTTTTTTAAATTGTTGACTGTTCAACGTAATGAAACAATCAATGTAATCTCACCCTTAAACGGGGTAGAAATGCGCGCGCATCTTAACAGGCGGCCTGCCACAAGGCGCGGGGGGCGTGGCCCGCGGCCGTTACGTACGTTTACCACAACGCAGCTAAGAGATAAGACACTAACTAGCCTACCCTACCAATTCGAACGTGGCATAATTTTGAACGCAAATACATTAAATAATCGAACAACTAGCACTGACAGCATAACAAATGAGCTGAACTATGAATTCTTAAAATATCTCTATTAACAAGTGTCCTTACAAGGCGAAGGTATTTCTTTATAAAAGTAACACTTCTTTACTGCAGATTATCTTAATCTCATCGATTTACCATACGGCAGCCGCGTTTCTTATTTTTAACTACTGAAATAATATCACCATAAAAACCTGGTTTTATCAAGAATTTTACTAATTGTAGGTAGTTAATAGCGGTAATCTTTAACAGACCATTGAGCAGCGAATTTTTGACTTGATGTTAAATAGAATTATTACTTCCTTTTATGGATTTCACTAGCTAGCCCGACAGACCTTGTTCTGTCCTTTCTGGTAGGTGGCACGATGATTTTAACTCCGAAATAACTCAAGTCTTTAATGTAAAATGTTGGTCCATAAATTAATATAGATTTTTTGCTTGCTTGAATACAGCGCCCCCTATCAGATCCTAGCTATAAATCCTTTTCTTGACAAAACAAAAATATATGGTGTGAATATGACCTAGATCTGCTAAATCGTTCAGAAGTTACATGATCATAAACAGAATACAACGATTTTATTATGATATAAAGATAAAGAATTTTAAAACTGTATATGATTATGATTTCTTATATTTACGCGAACACTACACATTGAATAAAAGTATTTTTACGGATTTTATCGCGTTTAATTAACTTATTTTATATTCCCGACGTTTCGGTTGCTTTCCAGCAACCGTGGTCACGGGGGACTGAGGACTGATTGACGTCCCGATGTCAAAGTTAACCCGGAGTACCTTCAGCTTTTTAAACCACGGTTGCTGGAAAGCAACCGAAACGTCGGGAATATAAAATAAGTTAATTAAACGCGATAAAATCGTAAAAATAGTTTTATTCAATGTATATGATTATGCATTATACATACATTACTGTGTAAGTATTGCTGTCATGTCTTGAAATATTAGCTATGCAAACTAATACCCACGTTATCTACGCGGAAGCACGTGCCTATCATGTTCTGTTGCAAAGCACTCATTCATAATGGAAACATTGTCTTGTATCCGTTTATTTATAGGTTTAGTGCTAGACTAGTTCTAAAGTAAATATTTTATCAGGAGTAAAACCCTTTATAAAAATTTCAAATACAGCGTCGTCACAGTATAAATATATTATTTATGCTGTGGCGTCGTCATTATAATTCGTGGCTTTTACTCACCACTGATACTGTAAAATGCGATTAAATACCCTAGAACAAATAGTCACAACAGGAATTTAACGGCATAAAGTTCTTCTTCTATTTCGTGATCATATCCCAAGTAATTTGGGTCAGCATAGCAAGTCTTCCTCTTCCAGCTCCTCCTATATTAGCGGTCATCCCACGGCTTATTCTGACGCATATCCTGCCTGCAAAATCCATCCATTTTTCTTAAGACCTCCCTCTACACTTATATTCATCCACTTTCATAGCACAAATGAATTTAGATTATCACGGATAAAATAAAAATATATGGCCAACTAAAACAAGATTTAAAAATAATTTAAAATTAAAATATTTGTTCAGCCGACTTCAAAATATGTTATTAAGTATAATTCAAAATCTATTGGTCTGACCTTGATCAAATTCATATGGGACCACACGAGAAGTACCAGCTTTCAAATAAAAAAAGGGTCATCGAAATCGGTTCACCCAATAAAAAGTTATGAGGTATCACACATAAAAAAACATACAGTCAAATTGAATACCGTCTCCTTTTTGGAAGTTGGCAGATAAATTTACATTGATTTTGCGTCACAGGCACTTAAGAGGACTGATCCCATAATTTTAAAAAAGAGATCTACTCTAGACCTATTTTTCTGAGAGTAAAGCTATGGTCGATTTCTAGTCATGTTACTGATACAATTACAGAATATACACAAAGTTTGTCTATCGCTCAGTTAAAAAAAAAATTAAGCAAAGATTGCATAAAAAGAGTTATAAGTGTCCGACCGAAACAGGATTTTCAACCGAAACCGAAACCGAAAACGAATCTTCGGCCAGTTTCGGCCTAAACCGAAACTAATCTAGACATGTTAATTTTTTTTATTGTATACTGAAATCTGGTATATTTTGCACATATACAGATAGGTAATGAATGTTAATGAAAAACAGTAATTGTAGTAGTTATGTAGCAATATATTAGTTATTTCAAAGTAAAAATTCAATATATAATTTCACATTAAGAAGTACATACACATAAAAAAGTTTACTCGCTATAGGCATCAAATTAAAATGAATATTAAAATTAAAGTTTTTAAGTAAAAAAATTTGAATATACCATTTTTGACACATTGTTTGACATTCGCAAACTCGCACTTCACACCTACTTCCAATTATGCTACGTGCCTGTTAGGTTGTTATTATATATCACATAAAAATATTTTTCTTTAAATTTTAATTAACTTAAAATACGTCTGCAAATGGAGCATCGGCCGTGATGTAGTATGATGTATTTATAGTAGACCGTTTTTTCCTACTACAAAGTTAAGTTCGTCCCTCAATCCTTTTCTTTAGAGCAGGGTTTCCCAACCTTTTTTCATCAGAGACCACATTTTTTGTAGATGGCAGGGACCTCAAGATAAAAGAAAAAAATGTGTTAATCTAACAATAAATTATAATCACAACTTTTAACACAATTATATAATAAATGGAAAATAAGCATTCACTGACAGTATTATTTGTGTATTTATTGTAAAAGCTAGTAGGTCCTACTTATTAATGTGACACGCGGTGTTGCACTGATAAGGCGATGAGAAAATAATATATTTATTGTTCAAAACGATTAGGTGGGTAAAATAACCATATTTAAGCTCTTGCGGACCACTCCTGGTCCGCGAACGACTGGTTGGGAATCACTGCGTTAGAGCAATATCCAGTGTTTACCTTACCTATAATTCATGGGATGAATGAACTATCTACATTGTACATAATTAAGTATATACGGAACGCTCAGGGCACAAGTCTGTTTCGCACTCCGATTTTTTATCCAATAACAGGGCACTACATACATACATGTATATGATTTTATTGCCGCGGCTACCAACGTTGGTGACAGCGGCTCTTGGAATGAATATTAATGTTCCTTTCATTTACAGCCAGGTATAACGCTG